CCCAGCGGTCTGCAGACAGTGTACGGAAAGCTCCTCGAGTTTGTGCCACATCACTGCCGACTGCTCCGAGAAGTGACCGGGGGTGCCATTTCGAGGTAGGGGGTATTTCTCGGTCGGTCGGTCACCCCGCGAGAAGTTGCGGCTTGTTGTTCGCCAGCCAGGGTTGGTATTCTGGTCGTGATGGACGATTCTGAAAGCCGTCAGGCGACGCTGCGCGGACTGCGGGCGTGGTGCCTCTGAATGAGGACTCCCAGTTTCAGCTGTGGCTTGTCAGGCGGTGAAAAGCAGTGACAAGGTGGGCCTGTTACTGGGGAGCCATGAAAACAGTTCAAGACCGTGACTCACAACCTGTGGGCTGATCATGCTGGTTCATTCAGCAGGTGATTAATGAGGTTTTATAACAGGAGCTTGTCCCAGCAGTTAGCTATGAACATTTCTAGGACATCACCCATCAATGCAGTTTTTAATAGAATTCTTTCATGGATCATGGTGTTTGTATATGAATATTTAAAATGGGTGATGCTGAGATTGGCCTTGATTACATTGCATTTGCTTTACTTTCTGTTCATTGAATGAATTGGACTTGTCTTTCTTTCCAGTGATAAAGCTGATATAGTTCCAGGGTATGACTTCATGGTGAACTCGGTTTGGCCAGAAATTGTAAAAGCTCTGGAGGAGCGGCTCCCCTCTCTCTTCAATCCGGGGAACCCTGATGCTTTTTACGAGGTAAAATTGACAAGCCCCGAGTGCCGTGTGAGAATTTCCAGGTAGACCAGGTGGAGAGTAGGCTCTTCTGTTCCTAAAGGATGCTGTGCTCTTCGCTTTGCAGGCTCGAGGGTTAAAAACTAAATTGGAAATTAAGCCACCCGCTTGGCAGACCAAGAGCAACGTCTGATGCAGCTTTTAAATCTAGCTATGTCCAATCCCAGCAGCGCAAGATCACTGTTCGAAATCTTCTCAATTTTCCAGAAATACAGCGTCAGCATGGAGTTTGTGCGGAAATTCGAGCGTCAGTGTGGCTCTCAGGCCAGTGTGAAGAGGCTGCGAGCACACCCTTCATACCAGAGCTTTCACAATAAGTGGAACCTGCCCGTCTACTTCCAGCTCAGGTCAGTAGCATGATTTCTAATGCTCCACCTGCAAAGAGGCTGTGTGTGGACGACACCCCACCTGTTCCTGCGCACTGGATGAGCTGCCAAGCTGTTAGATTTAATGACTCATGAGCATATTTTCAGATTGTTCCTAAATCTCGTTTCCCTTCTTTCAGAATGCTGCGTCTCGGCTTGTCAAAGGCATAGAGGAAGAAAAAAAAAACTAATTTGCAATTACTAAAAATGAAATTGTATATATTGAAACTTTCTTTGGAAAAGCAGCGGCATTCATGTTTTATTTCTGCTGAAGTGAACCCACACTAGTGAAAGTGATTTTTTTTTTCAGCTGAAAATGCGTTTTCTTTCGATCGACATTCTGGTTAGATGTGCTTGGCCTGCGTTTGGAAGACACAGTAACATGTTTGTCTTTTTTCTGCACCCAGTTGAAAGGGGAAGAGGCTCAATTGTAGTCTAGAAATGATTGGCTTGGAAAGAGAGCCAGACTTGGGTTTGTGCCTAATCTGTCCTCCTGTTTCAGGTTTAGTTTGACTTCAGAGACAGAGCTTGTAAAATGCAGTTGTTTGAACTTCCTCATCCTTGTGAAGAACTGAGCTTCGACTTGAGCTTTCTTATTTGACTAAATCCAAACAAAATCGTAACATTTTACACATAAGTGTGTATTGAGTTGAAAGGTGTTAGTTCTGTAAGGGCTTTTGAAGGCATTATTGATCGAGACTAAATAAACCTCTCAGGGTTTTTCAGTAGTGTGAATTGACAGGTGTTGTTGAGAATTTGAAATTAAATACAGTATTTTTCGGTGCCGAGGCAGAGTAAATGAATACAGGCCTTGCTTAGATACTGCCTTCCGGTGACCATAGGTCTCTTAACCCCATCTCACCGCAGCCAGGTGCTCTGTTGAGCTTGCATCATGTGCTTCCCTGCTGTTTACCTCCCTTATGAGAGTCATTATCAGGCTGATGTACTTTGGCATCTGTGAATCAGGATTTCTCGGAAGCAGCCAAACTTTGTGGAAATTCTTCCCTTTGTGTGGAATTTTTCACAAAGGATCCCTGCCACCGAAGGACACTGGAGAACGGATGGTTATATCAATTCCAATGAAACAGGAAGCACCTTATCGCAACTTGTTTATGACAGAGTTGTAACTTAGTTATTTGCTGTCTACAATTGCTTTGTCCTGGCCGAAATGCATGCTTACAACACCATTGAACAAGAGAACTGTTCCCACTTGAGGTTCAGCTTCTCCTTTCAGAAGTGCACATTACTTATCACAGCTAATACAGCTAATGCAGTTATAATGGCATGCACTCCTAGATAGAGTACCTGCTTGAGCATTTTATAATTGAATATTAAGTAAGCTCAAAGGCTAAAAAACAGTCATTTTATTAATGAATTAACATTATGCACAGTTACAGCAGATAAGGTACAGAGGTGCCTCAAAAAGAAGGGGGAATTCACAAGATGGGATCTCAGGGTTTAGGAGTGTGTTGCCATCAGTGGAGTGATTGCTGGGATTGCAACATTTAAGCGTACTGAAAAAAACTCTCAGTGCCATCGAGCCTATTGATCGTCCTAGAGGCAACGTGAAGGTTTTGTTGATTTTCACTGTGATCACCCACACTGTTTGCACACCAGACTGACTTACGTGGGTTTTGTGTGTTTTGCAAAATAAAGTCAATTTCAGGGAAATGCCTCACTGAGAGCTACTTTCTGTTACTTTTCCATTCCTCTTGCTGTAGTGCATTATGCAATATATGAATAATGACCTATTTGTATGTGTGCTGTATTAATTTATAACCCAGATGGAACCCTTTTGTTTATTTTGCAATCTGTTCTTCTCTTCACTGTATACAAAACATGCACCGGCTTTACCTTCTCAAATAACAACACGACCTGTTAGTAAATTTTACACTATGTACACCAAAGTGAGGATTCAATACATGATAGCGTATAACTTGAATCAAAGACCCAAATTGGTCTGGGGTGGGTCCCAGAATGGTCTTGGCATTCATGGTCTGGTCCCCAAACTGTGTTCATTTTAAAGCCCTACTAAGAAAATGACCATCTGTTCAAGTACAGTGACCCCGGAGTTGGATCCCAATCATTAACATGACCTTTGAGAATACACTGACTGGGGACAGGGCAGGAAGTGAATTTTATTCCAGTAATTCTTATCTGTTACGGAGGAGCAAGTTCAGGTACAAAATGGAATATTATTCGGGTTCGGAAATCTATTTATCTGTTTGTCTTTTCCAAATAGTAGAAACTTTATTGATGCGATCTAGAAATAAGCATTGTATCACAAATATATCATGGTGAAACACGAACAGGTGCACAAGAAAACGAACATTTTGAAAGCAGGGAGTTTTTAGCAAAATCTTCACAGCCCAGCGAGTCACAGGCCGGATATTTGTGTAAACTTTCTTCTCGTGTTGTGGTGCAGTATGCTCCGCTAGCAGAGTGTGGAACGTCACGTAACGGCTGGTGTGGTTTCTCTCTCAGGTTTAAGGAGATCGCGGGGAGCCTGGAGTCTGCAATGTCAGAAGGCCTTCAAGAAGCACCATGTAAGCTGCAGCTGTGCCAAGGAGATTTATTCTGTTTGTATTAAACCTGGCAGTCAAGACCCTCAGCCCTCCACCCTGCAGGAGAGAGTGGCCCAGAAATCGTACAGGGATTGAGGGAAACAGTTCTGTCCGTCGGAGGAGACTGGGTCTTCAAGCCAGAGAGAGAGAAATCATTTCAGAGAATGAAGAGAGAGTTCTGCCCCTTCATCAAATCCTTGTGTCAAAACGTAAAGATTATATTCAAGCCCAGAGAATGTTGAGAGGTTATTACGCGAGTATGAAAGAATGATAATTAAACATACACTTGTTCACAAATTCCAATATCCTGAACAGCCCAGTGCAGCACTCTTTCCCACAGCCTGTAGAACAAAGAGAAGGGAATGGTGTTTCTGAGGTCGTGTGATCTTCTGCTCTTACCCCTGTGTGTGTTGCTGGGGGTTTCGGTCACGCTGGTGTCTGGGGCTGTAACTCTGGCCTCTCTCCCTGGTTCCCTGTGCAGCTGGAGGCCCGTATCGCCTGCTGGCCTCCCAGGTCCTGTGGACCAGCCTGCTGAAGTGCTGGGCGGAAAGGGTCTACCTGCCCCTGCTGGCCCACCGCTTCTGGAAGCTCACCCTTCAGCTGCTGTCCCGGTACTCGACGTTCCTGGGCGAGGTGAGTCCTCCGGTCCGCAGACGATTCTCCAGGACGGTAACGCGAGCCGATGCGTGCAGAGCGATGGAGTCTGCGGTAGTAGCGGTGTAGCTGATAGTAGTGGCTGTGAGAAGAGGATTATTATTGCTGCTGCTGTTGCTATTTCCAAGGTGCCATACGCGTAGGAGGGCACCCACCTGTTCCACCCTGAGGCTCCAGCAGCCCCACTGTACAGCACTTCAAGTGGAGCAGTGAGATTCTTTGAATATTAAATTAAGACCGAGGTTTAGGAAGGCCACCCTACCTGTACTTCTCAGTACCTCCCTTCTCTTAAAAGCAGATCTTTCCTGACTAAGACAATCGGGACCATGGCCTGCCTTACAACATAGTGTCCTGGGTTACTCTACTGTGTCAATAGATTAGGTAACTCTGGTCCTGAGGGCAGAGTGTCAGCTGATGGTTTCTGATCACTCCCTGGTTTCTTTAGAGGTCTCTCACCCCAGTGCTGTCCATGCACAGCCTTCCTTAGCTCCTGAGAGCGGGCGAGATCGGGCTGCAGGGCGGTATAGTAGCTGCTTCATTCAAGGTGCTTCCTTTCTTTGCTGCAGGCGCTGAATAAGACTGCGGTCACAGAAGCCCATAAGGACACGGCAAAGCCCCTGAGCAGCTCGGCTTCCTCCTCCAGCTTGACCTCCCAGGAGGACTCGGGGAGCGAGGCCAGCACTACAACAGCACTGTCTGCCCAGCAGCTGGTGTCCATAGTGGCTGACGTGGATAAGCTGCAGGACCAGGTATGAGTGCAGTACAGCTTCTCCGCCTGCTCTCCAGAAGGGGGTTTTCCTCCTGCTGCGAGCCACGACTGGGGCTTTTCTCCTGCTTTACTTGTTCATAGTTTGAGCCTGTAGTATTGAAATGTGAACAAATCCACTAAAGTCAACTGTACCCAAAGTTCTTCTTCATATACTGTACAATAGCACATGATAACATTGAAAAGGTTACAAATGAGAGGAGGCCTTTCAGCTTGTCTGTCTCATTTGGTAGTTCATAGGTATCCAATGTCACTTTCAACCAAAGGATGGTTGTTCCATCATCCTTTGTAAAGAAGAGCCTCCTGTTCTTGGTTTTAAGTGCATTTCCTTCTAGTTTCCACATGTGTCCTCCGGTGAGTCTATCAGCGTTCGTTCTGAATAAATGCGCTTGGCTGACTTTCTCAGTGTCCTTGAGGACTTTGAATTCTTGTGTCGGGAGCTCTTGTAGTCACCTCTGTTAAGCACTGAGAAGTTTCGGTTCTTTCAGCCCATCAGCGTATCCCATTCCCTCGAGTCCCAGGATGCGTCTGGGTGCTCTCCTCTAGACTGAATCCATTGGAGCAGAATGTTTTCCCTGGTGTGATGACTAAACAATATTCTCTACAATATTCTAACTGAAATCCTTTGTGTGTGTAGATGGATGCCCGTGCCTGAGTGGAAGGAAGCATTTGGAAAGTGTTAGAAATTAGAGTCTTTGAGCTTTAGGAAGAAGCTGTGGGTAGCTGTCTTGTAACGGGTGTAACTGAAATCATATCTTGCTTCTTGACTAAAAGCATTGTTCTTTGGCATGTTGGTCTTTTTTTAACCAAGCCACATTTCCTCTCTTTATAGATTCCACAGCTTTCAGAAATGATTAAACACCGACTGGAGCTCATTGGGTTCACTAACTTTGAAATCCTCTCAGGTATGAGTTTTTGTGTTGTGTTAAATAAAACACTCTTATTGTGGTTGAGCTACATTAGCTTCAGAACAGTTACACTACACCTACACTGCTACTTAAAGTATTCTGCAGAAGTCCATATGATATTCAGCATATTTGGAAATCACTATGTCAGATAAAGTCTTAAGGTTCCCCCAGTTTTTTGGAATACTGTGCCTCATAAATCCCTTTTTGGTTAATTATTAAAGTATCCACAAGGGGACACTCTAGTAAAGTTTCAGTCAGTGCCCCAGCCTCCCCAGCAGGGGTCAGTCTTCTGTGCAACAGCAGTTGCTTGACTTTGCAGCCTTTCCATGCCACTCTAGTGCATAGTTTTGCCACTGCCTGATTTTCACTGACACACTATGAGATTAGTAACATAATTAAAATGCTGTGCAGCTAAGAAGTGAATTTCAAGAGCTACAGTTGAGCAGGTCTGTTGTACAAGGATGGGTGTAATCCCGTGGTGTCTGGTTACGATCTTGAAGAGCACAGATCCTTCAGGGTTTTTAGACCTCTTCCTACAGTGGCTTTAGAAGCAGTCTTCCTCTGGCTGAGCTGATAATTGACTCTTAAGTTAATTAAGAGCTTTGTTGGTACTTAAAATTGGAAACCTTGGAGTTTTGCAAGGAACAGCATTGGAAATGCTATAGGAGTCTTTGGAAGTAGTGCTTAAAAACAACAAAATATGAGCATTAGAAAATGCTAATTTTAGTTAAAATCTTTATTTCCTCATGATTCATTGTCATGGAATCAAATACAGTATCTTATTGATAGAACCAAATTAACTTTGATTCCAGCAGAATTGAAGCCTTTTGTAAAGAGGCGTTCTGTGTTGGTATTTGGGCCAAGAAGTCTGTCTGAAGCTCCCCTCTTCTTTACAAACAGATTCCTTGGCAGACGCACGAACATCTTTGTCAGGCTGCATTCCGATTCTCAACAGCAGAGTGACTCAACACTTGAGCGACAGTTGCTATGGTTATCTGAAAAGTGCGGCCGAAGTCCCAAGGTTGTACCGCAGAACAAACAAGGTCAGTACGTGGCCAGGTGCAGCAGGACCAAGCCAGTCTGACGTGGGCATGACTGACACTTTTGAAAGGCAGAATTCACTCCTTTTCTGTGGGAATTTGGACTACCTAGATGATAGTCCAGGAGTTTCTTTTGAATTGCAGTGCCAATTATTGTGTTTAATTGTTTTATTCATTATGATTATTTCATTTTTGTACATCAGTATTGAAATGTGTTCTTTTTACATTTTCTTTGAGGTTACCAATGCTGGGCTTTTCTACACTTTTTTTGTTTTTGTTACAGCATAGCAGGTCCTATTTGCAACATGGGGAAAAAAACCAACAAGCTTTGATTTCATGTGGTCCAGTCTAAAATAGTTTTCTTTGCTGGTAAAGCTTCACTCTTAATCACACTTGTAGAACCTGCTTTCACCTGTAGGCTGACAGCCTGGGCTGAAATGCCAGTTATGTCAGTTTCTGTACGTAAAGTCTGGGTGTGGCTGTTTTTCCTCAGGAAGTATCCACAAAAGCATCTCCCTATGTGGATAGTGCCCTGAAGCCCCTTCACCAGCTCCAGAGTGATTATAAAGATGTGCTGAAGCCCTCCATCATTCAGGACTGGTTCCGCGTTGCCCTCTCTGACAGCACTCGCAGGTAGATTTCAGTTTAAAATGGAACCTGGAAATATCATGTGGTTGATGAGCGTACTGCAAGAGGCTGATATCAACAAGCCATACGGTTTCATCCTACAAGTGTTAGCCTGTTGATCCAAGGTCCTTCTGAAGGTGGTAATCACAAGGTGCTTGTGAGTCGGTGTCCACAGTATGTCTTGGTTTTATCTCTATGTCCTGCTCTATAATAGCCCCCTATACCGCTGGGTGAGAAGGGAAGACTTTTAAAAACTAAAAATTGTAGATGTTTTAGCATAACTTAAAGGGCTCAGATGAATCCACCTGAACTAAAAGGAAATATAGTTATCTACTGATCATGGATTTAATGTTGCCATTTCTTAATTCTAAAATTGTAGTTCTTCCTGATGATACTTCTGAAAAAGCTTTCTATATTAAACATCTTCTGGAACCATGCCTAAGACCTGCTCTGTGTAGCCGATCCTCTTGTTGAAGAACAAATCATAATGAACGTGCAGCCTCGGTCACAGTGACATGACCCAGACTCGAACCTGCAACATATGCACTAGGGCTACGCTCTGGCGAGCACATGTACTGGCCAAGTCAGGCTGGAGTCCCTTCTTTCTATGATTAATATTATTGTAACACCACTTACTGTATGTGCTTTAAGTGTCATCTCTGACATTGTTAATGTGCTTTGAGTGAAAGTAGTTACTTTGGGCCTCAATACCATTGAGCTTTTCATAGCAGTTCAGTTATATGTGAACTGTATCAATTAAAATGCAAGTACTTGAAGCTTTCCTTGTTTTTGAATCCTTTCTTGTTTTTTTTTTTGAACAGGTACTACGAAACGGTGGCCGAAGTTTTAAGCTCCGTGAAGAAAATGGAGGAGAGTCTGAAGAGGCTGAAGCAAGCTAGGAAGACCATCACTGCAAGTGTTCCTGAGACAAATGGAGGCCTCACAGATGACGGCAAGATCCGGCTTCAATTGGCCCTGGATGTGGAATATTTTGGGGAACAGGTAGGAACTTGTTCCGCCTCACAGTAGCAAGGAAGTTCTACTGAAGTCCATTGTACACTGCCTAGTGCACTCAGTTGAGACTTGCAAATAGGCATCATTAATCAACTAAGCTTAGAAAACTACATTGCAAAACACTAAAAGTATTCAAAAGTGCAGACATAATAAGTGTTGTCTGCTGTCAAAGCCAGTGGAAAATTCCTCACTTGCTCAGAGTACTGTATATGATTCAATCTTATCCAGAAAGGTCATGGTTTCAGATTAGGCCTGGGACACTGTAAGAGTCTGAAAGACCGGCAAAGATTTTCAATGTTCAGAAAGAAATGTGTTTTCCCAACAGTGTGTTATCAGTAAGCAGCTTAAGTAAGGGCTAGTAAGGGCTACTGCAACCTGGAGCCCATGATGAAGGCCTGAGCCACAAGGCTCCCTGGACAATCGCAGGAGATGTGCACACGTTAAGCCACCAAGGGACCCCGCCAGCTTGTTCTAGGTGAAAGAAAACCATTGCAACTAGAGAAAACCATGCAGACACCACACAGATGGCATCCCAGTTCAGAATTGAGCCCAGGACCTAGGCTGCAGCTATGAAAGCCATGCCGTCGCTTAGCCCATCCCGTGTGTTTTATAATCCAGACATGCAATTTGCTGTTTCTGTTCCAGATCCAGAAGATGGGTTTGCAGACCAGCGATATTAGTCTGTTTTCCTCCCTTCTGGATTTGGTGCAAGGTGCGAGAGATCGGGCTTCATCGCAGCAGCCCTGAGGAGACGGCGCCCTCTTCGGTCTCCACCGCGCTGTGGGGTTGGAGGAGGCGTTGCTGTGGTGTGGATGACGCTGAGAAGGACGTGCAGACTTTTCGGTTGCTCCTGCCTTTGTCACAGTCGTGGGCGATAGACGTTTTACACATGTAGCTAAGTCATTTGGGAGGTGGTGGTGGAAAGTGGGGAGGCTTTTGAAAAGCAAACAATCTGTAAAAATAATTATTGTATATTTGAAAAAGTATAATCGCGTGAATAAAACCTTTACAGCACCAGTGTGTTTCGCACTGCTTGTTCAAGAAGATGGGCTGGTTTTGTCAACGTCGAAATGTCAAACAGAATTGGAAAAGCAGGTCATGACGTCCGGGTAGATCCGTAGGTTCCAGGTGTATGTTTTTTTTATTTTGGTTTCTGCATCTTATTCGGTACCTTATCGTTTGCCACCTTCTATGGTTTTTCTGGATTCTGAGAAATTGTTTTGAAACAACGTGTCTTTTTTTATGGGATTGATTTTTCTAGTTTTGGTTTGTTTTCATCTCGTTGTGAACATGTGTGGTAACAGATGCCTACAGTATGTTAAAAACAGTGATTCTTGAGAGTTTCGTTCATAAAACAGCAAACCGCATGAAATCTTTTCAATCCACATCTTGCATCCAGATGTGCAGGAGTACCCTAGTTGCTTTAACTTGCTTGATATTTGTTTTACATTTCTATTCAAAGGTTTATAGTCTATTATCCTTCCTTTAGTTGTCACTTGTAGTGCCATATCTGTTACTGAGTTTCACACACTTTACCTGTTCTCTCAGTGTAGTGCTGTCTCCTTAGGCAATTGGAAAAAGCAAGCAGATCTGCAGTAGTACTCAGATCTGCTTTATAAAAACGCACTCATAGCTTTGCCCGAGTCAGCCTGGTGCCTAACCACAGAAGGAAGTATTTGAAGTTTAGCTGTCCTGGTCAGTAAGCCAGCCACTTCATTAATGATTTGATGGATGTTATGAACTCATTTTAGTTTTCTCTAGGAAGTAATAATGCTATTACACGTATAATTGTTTTTAGTCCATGGTCATGCTCTTGATTTAAAATGTTGCTTGTGTCCTTGGAGACAAAACATCCTCCACAGAGGCATTTCAAACTTTATTACCATTCAAAATGCTATAAAATAAGCATCATTGCTCAGGAGTTGAAGCTATGGAAACATACGTAGTTTTGTGTGTAGTACACTAAACAGTTCAGCTAGGTTAGACAGTACAAAAGGGCTTTTCTCCTGAAATAAATGGAATATTTAAGTCCGAGGAGTTTAGTCATCAACTACTGTGGAGTGCAGATATTGTGTTGCTGTTTTGGTAAATGAAATATAAATCTGTAGGAAAACCACCATGACCCAGGACAATACAGCTGACCGTTTATACAGAGTCCTCAGTCTTGGATCAGTCAAAGGTCCTGTTTATTCACTGTGGTCAAATACCAACCACACAGTGAATGAACCACAATTGTAACAGATTGTCTTGCCTGTTTCTTTTTTCAATTAAAATACAAGTCAATAATCTCAAAAGTTTTAAAATAAAATATTTATTGAATCCATTGCAGTGGAGCAATGCTGTTTTTTTGGTAGTACACAAGATTCCAGAGGGGCATCACGTACTTTTTAAATGCACTTGGTACAAAAACCGATTTGAGTGACATACAGTACATCATGCTGCTGTGTTTTTATAAGCCAGAATATACGTCTTCTATAATAATCATTATACACGTCTGAATTTCTTGTACTGTAGTAATACTGTAAGCAAAAAAGACATTTTAATTTATACTGAGAGCTGGAAGAAGTGGACATCTCTCTGATACACAGTACGTTATTGGTGACACATGTCGGTATTCATGAAATGTAATGTTATAGGGGCCATGTTTAATATAAAAACATACATTTATACAAACATATATGACATTTAGTCAAGCGCATGCGTTTTATCATTTTCGTTTCACCAGGTACTTGGACTAAAATGAGAAACGTGCTCTTGGGGTTGAGGGCTCTTGGCTGGTGGAGGTCTTGTGGT